CCGGTGATTTAGGCTCACCAGGTTTGGTGGCAGGTGCCTTGGGTACTAGAGGACCAGTGCTAACGGAAGCGACCGCACCAGACCCCACCGAGGTCACAGGTGTTACCGGATGCACAGTCGTGGCAGGCTTCGCCTCTGCAGGACCTGCCTCTATGACCAAGTCACATGCAAGGTCAGGAGGTAGAGGAGGGTCTGCCAAGAAGATGGACAAAACCGACTCACTCCCTGATGGATCTTTCAACAGGTCCTGAAGTGCAAAACTCAGTGTGGCATGAGTAGTCCCAGGAGGTCAGCTCCCAGAATCAGCTCTCGGCCTTGGACAGTACTGTAGTCTGTGCGACCACGACGTGGAGAATATCAGTCAGAGGGAGATTGTCGCTCACCTGAGCGAGACGATTTTCCCCTAGAGGAGTGTGATGTACCCCCCTTTTGTCGAAAAGAGACACGATGTTTCACGACCAAGTCGTGGTGACTTAGGGTCCCCCTCACCAGCTGGTGGGGAGTCCCGTTAGTGGGAAAGCCCAGCGGCTTGGAGTGGTAATAGGACACATTACGTGCCGGGACCTAGGGAGACTAGGGCTCTTAGCACACCTCTGTAGTCGCTTGGCTTCCCGGGGCTGGAGGCTAGGAGGGAGATCTGGCCATCTGGTTGGGGTCTGGGGTGGTGGGTTGCTTTGCTCAGCATTTGGTGGGGGAGCCTGCTCATCAGCACCCCAGCAGGAAGGGTCGAACTCTTGGAACCGGTATTGGTTGTACCCCATGTGCAGCAGTACCGGTACCAGAGTGAATAGGGTGTGTATGGGGAGCATGAGTGGGTGTCCGGCATGCATTTTTGTAAGTCTTTGGTTGTATGTGTATGTGTGAGCATGAGGGAGGGAGTGTGTGACTGTGTCTGTGTATGACTGTATATGTCAGGTGGGGCCTTTGACTCCTCCCTTCTCCTGGAACTTCTTTTGATGCTATACATCTTCGTCTCCCCTCCCCCTGCCACACCTGGTTCGGACTGCGGTGTCTTGGTCTGCCCGAGTGTTGGTGGCTGCCGGGTCAGGGGGTTTAAGATTTTTGCCGTCAATCAATCTGCCTGATCAATCCGGTGGCTGCCTGGTGGGATCTGGGTCCCCGGCAGGGCTGTTTGCCCCTGGGTCCCGGGTTGCTTGGTCCCGGGCTCGGCTGGCTGGGGGGTAGGAAGCTGCAGGCAGGTCTGTGGGCTTGCCAATGATATCTCCCGGGACTCTGCTGGCTTCTGGTTGTGGTCCCCCTGGGGCGATCCTCTGCGCCTCTCGAGGGGGGCAGGGGCTTTTCTGGTCGCAGCCTCCTTGGGGTCCCGGTGCTCTGGGGCAGCTCCTGGATCTCTGGGACTTGGAGCTCCCTCCATCTCCTATACATCTTTGGGGGGCAGATCTGTGGCCCCTTACACTCTCTATTGGATGCTCCTAAAGAGAAACCTTATATATACAAGTGGGTGTACACAACACAGGTGCTCACATGGTGCTCTCATGGGTATGGACTTGGGTGCGTTCAACACGTGCCTTGAGGCTCTGGTTGGCGCTAAAGTCACTGTGACTTATTATTGTGTGATTGTTCAATAAAACAATGTTGATTTTACATTTCTTCGTCAGGTTAACGCAGTGAGCTTGCTCCTGTTGTTTTGCTGTGTTTTCCTTTCCTGCAGGTCTAGAAGTGGACTCTTGTTCACCATTGATTGTTTATTTTTGTGGGACCCCCCCCCCCCCCCCCCCCAAACACACACACACACACACACACACACACACACACCTTTTGTCTATTCCTTTCTCTTTCACCTCTGTATCCATGTCCGGTCGAAATTACACAGCATTCAAAAAACAACAATAAAGTTTTAAGTGCCAGGCGTTACATAAAAGCAGAATATTTGATGCTTCACCTGAGGGTAAAATCTGTAAGGCTTGTCACCAGCATTCAGACATTAATTCTGTTTGCTTCACAGCCAGACAGGACACAAAATAAAAATAATAATAATAAAAAAAAAAAGGAAATCCACACTTACAATAACCAATACCCACACCTATGACCCCCCTCCACCTACACACACACAAACCTCTTTACCCTCTGGTATGAATTGTATGTAAGCAATTTTCATGAACTAACGTTGGAAAAATAGAAATAAATCATGTATGTTGTCTTTTACTTAGGTGCATTGTTGTGGAGGTTTTTAGCCATGATGCTGAGACAGAGAAGGCACAAACAGAAGTGGACCATGGACAAGGTCAGACAGCCCAAGTGTATCCAGAACTACAACTCACAAGAGCAGTGGACCTGCATGACCAGTATGTCAGCCGCTACTGAGTTAACATCTGGTCCAAGAAGTGGTGGCGGCCATGCTTTAGCTGGGCCCTGAACAGTGCCACAGTGAACAGCTGATTTTGAGTATAATAAACTGGAAATAAAGAAACCAGTTCACGTTTCTTGTTTTGCATTTTATGCAGGGAGAACCTGAGTCTCCACATTTCTGTTATTATTTATTAGGACTATATTATTTTGATATTACTAAATTATTATTATTATTATTATTATTATTATTATTAATATTAGTAGTAGTAGTAGTAGTAGTAGTAGTAGTAGTAGTAGTAGTATTAATAATAATTGTAAATAAAACTCAGAGTGACCGATTATAATCAGAAATAATCATAAAAATTATCTTTTCAATGATCCACACCTTTAATTAACCCTAAATTATTTTAAAACTAAATTCCAGCTAATGTATTCTTCTCCATATAACTGTTTTGAAGCCAAATTTAATTGTGAGTAGTAGTGAATAGATCACTTGTTTGTGAGATGCATTGAATTAGTTACGCTCATTAAAAACTCTGTTTCACACTACATTTTCAGTCGGTCCTGGAAAGCTTCTTCCCTTTTTTCCTCTGTAGATAATGAAGTTAGCATTATGCTTATTTGGCAGCAGCCCAGATATTCAAATATTGATGCAGAGATGATTTAGATTGTTGAACTGTGAGTACAAGCTGTAATGCTCCAGATCATTTTGTTGAGGCAACATTTTTTAAGGCAACAAGGTGTCTTGCCATTGGCTGAAATCCTGAAACTGATTTGTCTAAAAAGGAGGAACAATATGATCATGGTAAAATTTAAATAAGGGAGGTATTAAAGATGTCTTCCATCAGCTTCCTTTGGCAACACTGCACCGTCTTCATTTTAGAGAAATAAGTAAATCACATTAACATTGCAGTTAAATTATGCAGATCTTTCCTCTGATTTCCACCAGGCCCTCTTTTTTTTTACTCTTTTCCACCATTTCTTTCTCATTGACATGTATTGATCTCCTGGTCACACCTTAAAGTACTTTATCTACAGATATTTATGTTTGTACCTGCGGGCCTCCAGTTCCCATTACGGGTCTGAGAAATGGGCTCGAGCAGTGTTTCAACACCTTGCTGCTGACGAATATTTTAAAATTCAAAAGACCTGCTCTTAGTCAGCACTTCCATCCCCAGATGTAGCCATGTAAAATGACCCGGGACAGCTAGTGTGCTGAGGCATAGTGTAAAGGCTTAACTACATGGAAGGAAAAGGTAATTAGAAAGCAAAATGTCTATACATTTAAAACTAACTTTTTGGGAATGCAGATCAGGTGTTAAAGTTTTAAAATGTAAATCTTTTATAAAATATTAAACAAAAAAAGAAAAAAGATTTCCAACGACAACAGTCTGACAAGATGTATAAATTCAGTCATTGATTAGTAAAAAAAAAATCCAAGATCCTGCATCAGACAATGAATTATTATCATAAATAAACAAAATCTCAAAACTATAGATATGTGGAGCTGCTGTTAACCTGTAAATCATGATGCTAAAAAAACGTTTTCTGTTTTCCACTTTTCTCCCTGGCTGTCCCTCGGTGACTCTGAAAAATGCCTCCTTTTGATTTTTTCCTCCCTCCAAATCTCTCTTCTTCTGTTAGCACCTCCCTGTATGCAGCTTATGCCCACTAGCTTTTAAATCCTTGTTGGTACATCAGCTTTCTAACCTTCCTAACCTCACTGACTGAGCCTCAGAGACTGTGTGATGGTGGATAATCGGCAGCAGGACTCCCTCCCTCCTTCTTTGTCTCAGCCTCTCTCTCCCCCTCGGCTTTGTTCTTGTCTCTTGTCCCTTACTGTGTGTGTGTGTGTGTGTGTGTTTCACAGCAATACACACACACACACACACACACACACACACACACACACACACACACACACACACACACACACACACACACACACACAGTGATTAACAGGTGAACCACTTCAGCAAAGCAGCTACACTTGACATTTCAACCTACTCCAACACCCAAAGAAAATTTGTCTAAACTCCACATAGGGATTATTAGTCATACTCCACCAACTGAAGCAACTATTTTCTTTTGATCGTGTTGTTTTATAAAATACACGCAGGTCATATTGCCAGATTTAGCTGTGGCAGCTGACAACCAACGTGTATTCTCCTGCTGCAGCCCTGATGGTTGACAATGACCGTGCTTTAAACGCTGAGAAGAAAACTCCCAATTCAAACTTTCCTCTGAACTTCCCTCTGCAGAATGCCTGGTGGACTGGAGAAGTGTCTCCAAATGAAAAGACAGAATTTGAGAACAAAGCAGACAGTGATGTGTAAAAGCATGCTTCTAAGTGCCTCTGATGCTGTTTGTCTCCTTGGAGTCGCTCTCAGAGCAGACTAACAAAGACAAACAACTCTGTGCTTGTAATGAAACGATGCACCCACACCTTACCTGTCAGCCTCATCAAGGGTCAGCTCACACCTGACACAAATTCATTTCTATGATAAACAAGAAGTTTACATCACCTGTGAGCAGCGGGGAGGGGATGTGGGCTGTTGCCTCATGATGATGGATCAAAACTAAACGTGGCGTTATTGTATTCTTTTCATCATTTATTTTCCGATTATGGTCACAGTGATGTCCCATGGTGCCTCACCCCCCACCCCCATGCGCTTCGCTCCCCTCCACCACCACCAGGGGCTTTCCACATCGCGTCGTGCAGACGGCAGCAGGTTTCTCCCACCGTGTCTCCTCGCTCTGCGCTCCTCGGAGCGGAGACTCCAGATGAGCTGCGCGGTGGCGGACGGGGCGCACATGAAGCCCGTGCCTCTGGTTTTTACCTCACAGGAAGTCGTTTAGGGTGGATTCCAGGAGGAGTTCGTCACCGACCACTTCGTCCCTCTGTGAACTGTCAAGACGACGGCATTTGCACCCCCTTCCCTGCGAGATTTAAACGGTAAGACTTTTGTTTTAATTATGGGAAAGTTCTCTGTGCGCTGGCACGCTGTCTGTAACGTACATCAGGACTTTCACCGAGGCTCTCGGTGGATCTTTTGTTACATTTTTGCTTCGAGATGGAATAATTAAACGAGAAGCTGCGATGTTAGTGGGAATTAATTAGCTTAGATTTGAACGAGCGCTTAAATCGACAGAAAAAATCGAGTGTTTGACATGTGATCTAGCCTGTAACATCATTATTTATGCTGGGAATATATCCACTCCAGTAACTTGTTGCCAGTTGTAATGCATTTAACGCTTAGTTCATTCTGCACATTAAGAGCATTTGCCAAAAATAGTAATAATAAAAAAATAAAGATTTGATGTCATAATAATTCAGAAAACACTTCTCATATTTCTTCCGCAAATGGTTCATTAATTGCAAAAACAAACGCGGTTTACTAACAGCAGTTAGATTTACTGTGTGCATAAATTAAAAAAAAAACGATGACATGTTTCAGAGGCATAAATGCGCTCTGATCCGTAATAACGAGCGCAAAGTGTGCAGATAGCATATGGAGAACGTTTATTTTTTTTATTCATTAAAAGTAACAATACGTGTTTTTTTGTGGACACTGGAAGTGAAATCACAGCGGTGTGAAATGACCGCACAGCTCCTGCTTTCCGAGGACTGCAGCCACTTGATGCGCCAGGATGCATTTGGGGAAGCTGGACGGCTGCCACTGTGCTCTAAAGCCAGTTCAGTGGGCGCTGACTTAAAAGCATGCAGTGTTATCAGGGAAACAAAATGATTCACTCGCTTCAATACCTCATGGCAATGCTTTATATTTATTGCAAAAAACAAAACAAAAAATAAATTCATAATAAAAAAAAATACCGGCTGCAAATGTGCATTTTTCCGCCTTTTTTCCATAACACCAGCAAGACACTATAATTATTTTTGCTTACAAGTGGAACTAATGGACATCCACAGATCAAATTAGCTCCACCAGCAATTTCTGTCCTACAGTTTGTTGAACACGTATTTTTTTTTTACTGGACAAAAATGGAAAATCTGGTTTAACAAACTCATCTCACCAGCTTTTAAACATGTGCTTCTTCCCCCTCTTAACCTTTCCTTGTGTTCTCTTGCCTCAGGTTCCTTTCGAGTTGACTCGTGTTACTCATCCATACAAACTATTTGACATTTAGATTTTCTTAAACAACATTTGACATTTGTTAGGCTCGTAAAATATTCCCTGACGTTATTAATGACGTGTAAATTCTGTAGGAAAATCCTAATTGTGTTCGCCAGAGATGCTCAGAAGTTCACCGCTACATGGTTGAGCAAATCCTTTCCATGCCAGGTTAATATTTGCTGTCTGTGGAGAACTAGACCATCTTTGTGTCTGGAGGAGACACAGTCTCCTAATTTGTGTTTTATATAGGAGAGTGCAGTTTGTGACTCTGAAATTACAGGGTGTTAAGCTTGGAGGTAACTAGATGACCTTGAATGAGGTCAGAAGTTTACTCTTTTGGGAAATCTCAGTTTCCAAATGATTGCCTAATGCACAAACGTCGAGGGTCTGGATCGGGAGCATTTATGAGATCTCTAGCATGCCTCAGTTTACCACTTATCTCGAGCTAATTGGTGCTTGTGAGAGGGCGAGAGAAACGCCTGTTACCCCAACAACCAATCAATGACTTTAATTTTCCAATTAGACACTGATCTGTACAGGAATCCATCAAACAGACAAGAAGTCTTGGTGGGGATCATGAACTTTATTGACTTTGTGTTTGGAGAATATATTTGTGAGGTTGCTCTCTATGAAAATCAATCGGTGTAGATATTAGAAAGAACTTAAGGTGAAATCCAGTTATCTCTTCAATCTTTGTTCTTATATATATGTTAATATTTGATCTCTGTAGAATTAGGCTCGTTTTGAAATGACTTGTCAGAATTTGGCTGTGCAACACGTGTTTGTGCTTTACGTCACTTTGATGGTTTCTTTGCTGACTTAATCTGAGCAAAATCCTTTGTGAACCAAAGCTTTGAGACTTCAGATTTCTCTCTTAAGTGGCCTTTCATGCCCACAAACACAGATAAGCCACGCTCAAACCTGCTTCCTCTTACTTCATCTTCCTGGCTCTGATGTATTGAGACATTTATCTTTGGGGTGGTCCTTCAGAAGCAGGTCGTCCGAGGTTGTGTGGGCTGCCGTGTTGGAGGAGACTCCATTGATGAAGTTCTGGGGACTTTAAACAAAAGGGGCCTGCCCACTGGGTTTCAGGAGAAGGTTTTATGATATGGGGACTAACTGTCCTGCTGGAGGAACTTACTTTGCAAAAATGCTAGTATGTGTCAAAATAACGTCTACTAAAATATTCTCAACAGGACATTTTGCTGTGGCAAAGATCCTTGATATTTTCATCAGCTGCCAGAGAGTTGCACATGTGCACACACAACATTTAGCACATTTAATCTTGTTTGTACTTTAAAACTTTAAGAGAAAGATCTCACCTTTTTTTTTATCAAACGTGTGTCCGTTGCATGCGTGTATCTGCCCTGTATCTCCTCCTCATTAATTCAGCTGCTGGTCTAACTAGCATGTACATTACAAGGGCCATGTAGCAGTAACTCAGATGGCAGACTGGGCTGATTGTGATTTATGTACCAAAAGTGAATGCATTACCGTTGGTTTCTCGAGTCTGTGCCAAGTCCAGGCATTTTCGCACATTTTCTAACGCTCACAAATCATAAATACACAAAATAAAAGCTTACATGCACAAAATAGACTGTGTGCGAGTAAAAGGTGCATCACTCACTTTCTCCTGTTTTCTTTCCCCTCATGCTTACATCTCCTTTCTTCTCTTTTCGTTTTTGTTCTGCTTCACTCACTCACTCACACACACACACACACACACACACACACACACACACACACACACACACACACACACACACACATGCACGCACGCACGCACACACACACACACACACACACACACACACACACACACACAGCCACCATGAAAAATTGCTTAGATGAAACAGTCCATCGTTGTGAGACATTGATCACTGTTTACCAAGGTGGTGCATAAATGTGGTGTTAAAGGAGCGATGGCTTGGGTGGACATAGGAGCAGAGAAAGAGAGGAGAAATGAGAACCTGCTGAAAGGAGAACGAGGGTGATCGACTGCAGTGATGTGGCAGTAAAGATGACATGTACAGGGGGTAAATCTGAGGATTTTTATGGCTAACACAGAAGGGCGCTATTAGGCCAACTGATTGGTCTGGATTTGTGGTAAGGTGACTGGTTCATTTTCCAGCTTATCATACACTCTCCATCCCTATCTCAAACACACACACTCATAAAAACACACCTTTTCACAGTCACACTCCTCACAGCTCACACCTGCTGCCTTGTCGGCGGTCAGAGACGGTCAGCCCTTAGTCACTTTATTACCCCCCGAGGGCAGAGACTGCATCAACCATATTAGTGCTGTAGCTGTGTGATGGAATCACCAGGTGGGAGGAGATTGAGAGCTGAGGGTTGTGGACAGACTCTACGGCTGATTTTCCAGGCCTGTTTGCACCTGATCTGAAGAAGAGGGTTACAGGCACTGCTTTGATTCAAAAATATTTGAGCGCTTTGTCTTTTCTAAGAAAACTCAGTATTTTTTTTTTTTTTATAGATGAGATCTCTTATTGAGACAGTTTTCTTGTGGCTATGCCGGAGCAGGATAACAAGGCTGGCTTTGACAAGGTTTTTAGAAATACACACACACACACACACACAAACACACACAAACACACACAAACACACACACACACACACGCACGCACGCACACACGCACGCACGCACGCACGCACGCACGCACGCACGCACACACACACACACACACACACACACACACACACACAAACACACACGCACACACACACACAATATTTGCTACAGATATGTCAAATTTTTTAAGCAATCAGAAAAGAAAATTATTAGTTCACTTTATACTTTTTTCTTCTAATTCATTCTTATTAAATTTAAGAAAATCTTGTTTCCTAATTATTATTTAAATGTAATTTTCATCAAACCTGAATGAACTAGAGACGTTTGTAAAGAAGAAATGGTCCAAAATTCCTTCCAACAGAATCCAGACTTTCATTGAAAGCTATAGGAAGCATTTAGAGGCTGGTGTTTCTGCAAAAGGAGGATCTACTAAATATTGAGTGTATTTTTTTTTGTGGTGCTCAAATTTATGCATCTGCCTAATTCTGTTTAAACAATTATTGCACACCTTCTGTAAATCCTATAAACTTAATTTCACTTCTAAAATATCAATATGTGTGTCTCCTGTTTGATATATTTACTTGAAATTTTTATCGTAGTGAGGGAAAAATGGAGCGTGAGATTGATAGGCGGATTGGTGTTGCTTCTGCAGTGATGCGGGCGTTGTACCAATCTGTCGTGGTGAAGAGAGAGCTGAGACAGAAGGCAAAGCTCTCGATTTACCGGTCAATCTACGTTCCTACCCTCACCTGTGGCCATGAGCTTTGGGTAGTGACCGAAGAATGAGATCACAGATAAAAGCGGCCAAAATGAGTTTTGTCCGCAGGTTGTCTGGGCTCTCTCTTAGAGATGGGGTGAGAAACTCGGTCATCCAGGAGGGGCTCAGAATAGACCCGCTGCTCCTCCACGTCGAGAGGAGCCGGTTGAGGTGGCTCGGACATCTGGTTAGGATGCCTCCTGGATGCCTCCCTGGTGAGGTTTTCTGGGCACGTCCAACCGGGAGGAGACCCAAGGGAAGACCCAGGACACGCTGGAGGGACTACTGTATGCCTCTCGGCTGGCCAGGGAACACCTTGGGATTCCCCCGGAGGAGCTGGCTCAAGTAGTTGGGGAGACGGATGTCTGGGCGTCTCAGCTTAGCCTGCTGCCCCCATGGCCCGACTCCGGATAAGCGGCTGAAAATGGGTGGATTATTTTATCGTAACAACCAACTATTTATAAAGGCAA